TTTCAGATGTTTTTAATTCAGTATTTTTTTCAATATTCTTCTAAAATTTAACCACTATATTTACTAAAATCAAATAATACCGGTTTTATGTATTTCCGTATTAAACCTGTAGTCAATTCATGTTCCAGGGCCACTTGGTTTAGCCGTGCATTATCAGCCAATATACCATGGATTGCATATGCAAATTTTGTGTTTGGACCAATCAAATCAATGGATTAACACCATCAATATACTGGTATAATATAATTATTGTTAATACATAGCAACTTAATTAAAATAGTCATCCTATAAATTGTGAAGGGCTGTACACAAAAAGACTTGGACGAGTCATAATTTTAATATATGGCCATCCTCTAATCATCTATCATAAAATTCTGTGTGTAATCTTTGAAAATGCTTGAAAATTTTTGGCTTGTTAAAGAGCTGCTTCTGACGTAAATATCTGGAAAATACTGCAACTGTTACAGGATTTTCATGAACTGTTGGCAGCATTATGGACATTTTGCAAAATTGATTTCTTAGAGTTGTGAACAAATTGTCTTGGGAAGGTGTTTTATGTCTTTTTTTCCCTGGAATAATATTTATAATTGCAAATTTTGTATTGATTATTACATGTTTATTGATTGGTATATTTTTTTTATCGATCAAAATGTATAGCAGAGTTATTGAAATAATTATCAGAAACAGAATCATGTTAGGTTAAGAGGTGTATAGCCTTTGTGGATCATTTGTTTCATTCTCTGAACCAAAGTTCATCACGACCTTCAGACCTTCATACAACGTAATATAGTTAAATATTCGTTTATCGCTCTGAATATGTAGTATTACTGCCAGTGTTCCGGTATCCCTCTGATATTTTGACGCTAAAAAATGTGTTGATTTCATCTCAAGAACTTGTAGCAGAAAATGCAGAAAATACTACTGAAAGTTCCTTACTGGGAAATATTGCAAAAAGTAGGACTTGAAGGGAATATTGATAACGACATTGAACATTTTGATGTCAATGTATTGTAAGTTGTGTTGCAGATTTATTTTAATTTTGGCCATGTCAAAACTCAAAAGAATAGATATTAGGTTGTCATGCTATAGCCAGCCAGCCAGGTTAGAAAAATGAATGCTAGTGCTTTAAAAAGTAGATGTGTGAATTGTATTAAACTAAGATGATCAGCCTACTGTTACAAGTATGGTAAAATTCCTCTACTAAAATGGCAAATTGATAACAACTTAAAATGTCTTAAAATTTGTCTCCAAAATGTTACATTATTTTATGGATTCCCAAACTTCTAGCTGCTCCAGCTGAAACTGTCAATTATTAGACATCTTGTCATAGATAGACTAGCCTTTATGAAAGGTTAGATTGGACATGCGTTTTTTCTTCACTTGTTTTGTGCCAGGCATTCTGGACATTGAATGTCATTTGTCTCTCTTGACTTCTTTGTGTTAATTGCAAATGCTGATATATAATGCATTTTTGCAAAGGAAGATGCATGTTTGGGACTGTGGTATCAACCTGGACCGATCGAACACAAGCACCTGAGACCATAACCAAGGTTCTCCCAAAGATGCAACCATTAGTGAATGAATTTTGGCTAGTGGAAATAAAGTTTTCAGTACAGCCATCCAGGGTAGAGTTGAACCTTTTTGGTGTTCAGCATAACTATTGGGTTTTGCTGGTGCATTACCGCGGTGCATTCCCAAATAAAACTGAACTAATAATATGTATAACAATAATTGTAGTCAGTCATTCATTATTTACCTTTTCATCACCGGACTAGCCCAAATTTGTCTGTACTTTTTAGCTCCGCTGTCGACTTTGTCGAGCGGAGCTTATCATACGAGTGATTGGACGTCGTCTGTGTCAATGTTTTACTTTTTCGACTTCTTCTTGAAAACTACATGCCTGAATGCTTTGATACTTGGTGTATATGTACCTTGGGTAGACCTCTCTTAGGTTTGTTCATTTCATGTTGATATCTTTAATTCTCTATTTTTGGTGAATATTTTTGTTATTTTTGGTAAAAAGTGATATTTTCGACTTCTCGTTAAAAACGGCAAGTATAATTACTTTGATATTACTTATATATAGGTACTACATGTGGATCTCTCTCAGATTTGTTCATTTTGTAATGATATTTTTAATTCCCTAATTTTGGTGAATATTTTTTTCATTTTTGGTAAAAAGTGATATTTTCAACTTCTTGTTGAAAACCCGAGTCCAATTGCTTTGATATTACATACATAGGTACTACATATGGACCTCTCTCAGATTTGTTCATTTTGTGATGATATCTTCAATTCTCTAATTTTGGTGAATATTTTTGTCATTTTTGGTAAAAAGTGATATTTTCGACTTCTTGTTAAAAACCCCAAGTCCAATTGCTTTGATATTACATATATAGGTACTACATG